ACGCGTGATATTTACGACACATTATGTGCTGAAAAACTAGCTTAAAACGCGTGGTTTTGACTAATTTTAAACGCGTGATATTTACGACACATTATGTGCTGAAAAACTAGCTTAAAACGCGTGGTTTTGACTAATTTTAAACGCGTGATATTTACGACACATTATGTGCTGAAAAACTAGCTTAAAACGCGTGGTTTTGACTAATTTTAAACGCGTGATATTTACGACACATTATGTGCTGAAAAACTAGCTTAAAACGCGTGGTTTTGACTAATTTTAAACGCGTGATATTTACGACACATTATGTGCTGAAAAACTAGCTTAAAACGCGTGGTTTTGACTAATTTTAAACGCGTGATATTTACGACACATTATGTGCTGAAAAACTAGCTTAAAACGCGTGGTTTTGACTAATTTTAAACGCGTGATATTTACGACACATTATGTGCTGAAAAACTAGCTTAAAACGCGTGGTTTTGACTAATTTTAAACGCGTGATATTTACGACACATTATGTGCTGAAAAACTAGCTTAAAACGCGTGGTTTTGACTAATTTTAAACGCGTGATATTTACGACACATTATGTGCTGAAAAACTAGCTTAAAACGCGTGGTTTTGACTAATTTTAAACGCGTGATATTTACGACACATTATGTGCTGAAAAACTAGCTTAAAACGCGTGGTTTTGACTAATTTTAAACGCGTGATATTTACGACACATTATGTGCTGAAAAACTAGCTTAAAACGCGTGGTTTTGACTAATTTTAAACGCGTGATATTTACGACACATTATGTGCTGAAAAACTAGCTTAAAACGCGTGGTTTTGACTAATTTTAAACGCGTGATATTTACGACACATTATGTGCTGAAAAACTAGCTTAAAACGCGTGGTTTTGACTAATTTTAAACGCGTGATATTTACGACACATTATGTGCTGAAAAACTAGCTTAAAACGCGTGGTTTTGACTAATTTTAAACGCGTGATATTTACGACACATTATGTGCTGAAAAACTAGCTTAAAACGCGTGGTTTTGACTAATTTTAAACGCGTGATATTTACGACACATTATGTGCTGAAAAACTAGCTTAAAACGCGTGGTTTTGACTAATTTTAAACGCGTGATATTTACGACACATTATGTGCTGAAAAACTAGCTTAAAACGCGTGGTTTTGACTAATTTTAAACGCGTGATATTTACGACACATTATGTGCTGAAAAACTAGCTTAAAACGCGTGGTTTTGACTAATTTTAAACGCGTGATATTTACGACACATTATGTGCTGAAAAACTAGCTTAAAACGCGTGGTTTTGACTAATTTTAAACGCGTGATATTTACGACACATTATGTGCTGAAAAACTAGCTTAAAACGCGTGGTTTTGACTAATTTTAAACGCGTGATATTTACGACACATTATGTGCTGAAAAACTAGCTTAAAACGCGTGGTTTTGACTAATTTTAAACGCGTGATATTTACGACACATTATGTGCTGAAAAACTAGCTTAAAACGCGTGGTTTTGACTAATTTTAAACGCGTGATATTTACGACACATTATGTGCTGAAAAACTAGCTTAAAACGCGTGGTTTTGACTAATTTTAAACGCGTGATATTTACGACACATTATGTGCTGAAAAACTAGCTTAAAACGCGTGGTTTTGACTAATTTTAAACGCGTGATATTTACGACACATTATGTGCTGAAAAACTAGCTTAAAACGCGTGGTTTTGACTAATTTTAAACGCGTGATATTTACGACACATTATGTGCTGAAAAACTAGCTTAAAACGCGTGGTTTTGACTAATTTTAAACGCGTGATATTTACGACACATTATGTGCTGAAAAACTAGCTTAAAACGCGTGGTTTTGACTAATTTTAAACGCGTGATATTTACGACACATTATGTGCTGAAAAACTAGCTTAAAACGCGTGGTTTTGACTAATTTTAAACGCGTGATATTTACGACACATTATGTGCTGAAAAACTAGCTTAAAACGCGTGGTTTTGACTAATTTTAAACGCGTGATATTTACGACACATTATGTGCTGAAAAACTAGCTTAAAACGCGTGGTTTTGACTAATTTTAAACGCGTGATATTTACGACACATTATGTGCTGAAAAACTAGCTTAAAACGCGTGGTTTTGACTAATTTTAAACGCGTGATATTTACGACACATTATGTGCTGAAAAACTAGCTTAAAACGCGTGGTTTTGACTAATTTTAAACGCGTGATATTTACGACACATTATGTGCTGAAAAACTAGCTTAAAACGCGTGGTTTTGACTAATTTTAAACGCGTGATATTTACGACACATTATGTGCTGAAAAACTAGCTTAAAACGCGTGGTTTTGACTAATTTTAAACGCGTGATATTTACGACACATTATGTGCTGAAAAACTAGCTTAAAACGCGTGGTTTTGACTAATTTTAAACGCGTGATATTTACGACACATTATGTGCTGAAAAACTAGCTTAAAACGCGTGGTTTTGACTAATTTTAAACGCGTGATATTTACGACACATTATGTGCTGAAAAACTAGCTTAAAACGCGTGGTTTTGACTAATTTTAAACGCGTGATATTTACGACACATTATGTGCTGAAAAACTAGCTTAAAACGCGTGGTTTTGACTAATTTTAAACGCGTGATATTTACGACACATTATGTGCTGAAAAACTAGCTTAAAACGCGTGGTTTTGACTAATTTTAAACGCGTGATATTTACGACACATTATGTGCTGAAAAACTAGCTTAAAACGCGTGGTTTTGACTAATTTTAAACGCGTGATATTTACGACACATTATGTGCTGAAAAACTAGCTTAAAACGCGTGGTTTTGACTAATTTTAAACGCGTGATATTTACGACACATTATGTGCTGAAAAACTAGCTTAAAACGCGTGGTTTTGACTAATTTTAAACGCGTGATATTTACGACATATGATGTGCTGAAAAACTATTATAAAATGCGTGGTATCGACATATTTAAAACGCGCGGTACGTATTTACGACAGATTGTGCGCCGATGCACTAATTAAAAAACGCGCTGTTTTAACGACACATGATGAGCTGATGCACTAATTTGAAGCACGTTGTATTCACGATACATTAGCCACTAGTGACGCGCCGATAATACACTAGTTTACCACGTGCGGTATTTACGATACAATAGTTACTAGTGCCGAGCTGATCCGCTAGTTACGCTATCCTGTCATCAGTTTGGCAGCTTTAAGCGATGTTTAAAGTTGCCTCGTCGCTTGATGCGCGTGCCCTTCTTCCGGTGCTTGATGACGCAACTTCTTGATGATACAACCTCTCGACGGTACAACTTCTCGACGGTACAACCTCTCGACGGTACAACCTCTCGATGGTACAACTTCTCGACGGTACAACCTCTCGACGGTACAACCTCTCGACGGTACAACCTGCCAATGATGCAGCGATACCAGATGCCGCAGCAGTAGCCGCCATGACAAAAACTGTAATAGTACAACAAACCAGCAGCGACAACACTTGCGCGTGACCCCTCTACTGCTTCGAACGACCTCCCTCCCCTCCCTCCCCGTAACGCTAGTGTGGTGATGTGGGGACCCTTAGCTTCACCCTTGTTCTTGCTGTCGTCAGAGCGCCATTCATGAAGATCGTGGATGTATCGTTGCTAGATGAGGTTTTCTATTACAATGTTTTCTATTGCAGAAGAAAGTTTCAGTGTAATAATAGTTGTAAACATCGTGGGGGTTGACTAGTCGGCACCGCGAAGACAGGCTCATAAAGTCTTGGTCGCATTCGGGCAATTGAAAGTATCGGTGAATGAACAAGAACGTCGCCGGAGAGCTCAGCGTTTGATCGCTGCGTATGCAGCGTCGCCATTCGCGCGTCAAGCGTCGTCGTGAGAAGAGCTGTGTAGCTCCGCGCTTATGTCGGACGTCATCAGTGATGCGCGGTGGTGATTTTTTGTGTGAAGTTCATGTTGTGCCTCCATGCGAGTCCTAGGGATATCTGGCGGAACATGTTATGGGAGCTGATAATTCTTTATATCTTCTGAATTTATTGAACCTATGGGTTCTTTAAGTTGTGTAAGGAAGTACACGGAATGTTTTTTTTTTTTATTAACTCGTTCGAACATTACTTTCTGGGCAACCTTGTAACTATTTTCCAGTTGCTGGAACAAATTTTGCTCGAGGTTTAGTGCTGTGTATATTGAGGTGTTTGTAGATTTCTAATGAGATGAAAACTCTCAGTTGAATTTCCCATATAGGTTTGAGGTTATACTGCCTGCCTGTTGAATGTCCAGACGAGTTGAGCAAGTACAGTGTTACACTGCCTACTTCTTGAATGTCCAGACGAGTTGAGCAAGTACAGTGTTACACTGCCTGCCTGTTGAATGTCCTTTTAGACGCAATTTGATGTATGATTTTTTTATTAATTTGGCTACATATAGAATGTAAAGGTGCTAGCGGAAGAGAATATAGTGGATTTACTTCGGAATTGAGCGAACCTCTTGTTCTCGAACATTTTACCTCGCAAGTTGATCGCTTCAGTCGTTTTTTCCGCTGCTGATTCGAAGAGTGTTGACTATTAGTTCAGTTTTTTGCTATTCCTAATGTAATATGCGAACGCTCAACCCGTTTCGGGATAAGAGCTCATGTTCGCGACCAATTAGGAAAAAAAACATTTCATATCGTTAGTTAATGTCTGTTGGATCTTCCTTGATGAGTAGTAATTACTTATAATTAAAACTTAATTATTCTGTTGCGCTGAACTGCCAAGCACCAGCATCGTCTGATGCTATCTGCTTGTGCGCTCATAAGTTCACTTTAAACGGTCACAAGCCTCTAGTATGCCACCTCTAATAACTTTAACTCTTGATTATTGTCGGGTAAATGAAATGGGTAAATGTTGGGTAAGGTTTATTAATTGAGGGCAAATGTCGGAGCTTTTGACGGCGAGTCTTGTTTTTCAGTATATGTAGATGAGCCCAAATATTGTTCATGACGAAGTTCTAAAGCTTAAAATAATGCAAGAACTTGTTAAGCAGTAGCTCATTAAGCTTTCCGTGTCATAGATTGCCGAAATGGTCGAAATTAAGCTACATTGCCGGACGCTAGAGCAGATGCAAGTTACTGGTTACCCCATAAGATTATTTTAGGAAGGAAAAAACCGGCAAGTAAACTAAACGGCTTTTACTAGTTTATTTTGAGGTGTACAAGATGTGACACGCATCACGAAATCACGTGTGCAATCGGAGCTGTGCGTGAAGAATCTCCCTATGACCACTCCCTCAACTCGTCATGCCCATACAGCGTTTAGATCCTTCTTCAATATTTCAGCTCCCTAACTTCCTTTTCTCCCAATCCTCTCCTAGCTATCATGTCTCTCCTTGCCATCCCGTCTCTCGTCGTCTATCTAAAAGACTGAGCGATCCCTATCTTCATTATTACTTGTCGAATCGCGCTCTGCCTCCTACACCTGCCGACCAGCTGCCTTACGTTCACTCGAACACCAGATTGTCACCCGTTCCTCACACAACCTCGGTAAGCTCAGCCGCTAAACCTGCTGCGCCACATCAGCGTAGCTCCGCTGCGAAGGGTAACTGCACTGTGCGAGTTACCAGCAAAAAAAGACGTCCAGCGCCCGCCCGCAGGACTCTCTCGGTCGCAGCCAGAACTTGTCCTGAGAAGTGGGAAGGTTTCGAGGTCCGGGCTGTAGGGGGTGGTGGCCCTAATTACAAACGTTACTCGAATGAAGTCAAGTTTGTTAATGGAAACTTTAACCATAACGTGTGTGTTTCTGAACCCAAAGTTCATTCGAGTTCAGTTTATTGCTCTACCGCAACACCAATAGGTACTGTGAGCGGCGCTGATAAAGTGTTGGGAGAAATTCGGGTCTGTCCAGGATATCAATCTCAAAAAACGACCCTTGTCCATAAACCGAGTGAAAACTATTGTGTTGGTGATCGTGAAATTGACTGGGGTAAACGTTCTTGGCAAGCCAACCAGGAACACTTGAAAAAAGATCGCCGGAATAGCTCAGAAGAGGACACTAGTGGAATTGAATCCAATCAAACTGACCTGTGTTATTCAGATAGATGCTTGAACGCTCCTTATCACGTCGGGGTGACAAGAGTGAACACATCTGTGTACGGTAGCGACTTGAGCGTCGGCGTTGACTCTGTTATTGATTCTGTTTCTTTCAAAAATTCTTCCCTAAGAAGTACGAATAGTGCAAACAAAAAGGCATTTATTCTCAACGGGAACGAATTTGGGAGACGCAAGTCATCTCCTTGTGTCGGTATTTCAGGAAGTGCTCCAAAAGATAATTTGAAAGCCATGATTGGTAGCGGCACTGTGTTTCGCAACACCATCGAGTTAGATCCACGTATTCTGCATCGCAAACATTCAAGTCCAGCGAACATTGGGCTTGCATCTAACACTCGAGCTGCACCCACCAATGGCCCGAACAAACCGACGTTCGTTACGGTCAGTATACGACAGAATAGCTGCGCCACGTCTGGCTCAGAAGCCTTTTTTAATCTTTCCCTGCGACCGTCCGATGCGGGGGGTGACAAGATCACCCTGGTTCCTGCTACTTGTAAAGTTAATCGTTCTGCTTCCTGTGCTGCAACGCTTGCCAGGAAAAATTCACATGGCTACCCTGTAGTGAACGGAAATGTTAAAAACTCTGCTGCTCTTCCATCGGGAAACTGGGTTTCAAACCAGCCTACCGCTTTCCTGACTATTCGTCCATCTAAACCTGGAGATCTCGTTCATGACGGCACATTTCACGATGCGACGAGGCCTTCTCGTGCTTCTAAGCAACCGACTATCAGCCTCACAACGAACCTCTCTACCAACGTTCTCCGGCACCCAAGTGTTACCGCCAAACGTTCGTTAATTGACGATTGGATATCTGATTGCCATGCCCAAAATATTAACTACAATCGCGAAAATCTCCTGGCTTCTGGAATATCAAGCCCTTTAAATCCTGGAGTCTGTGTGCAACTACCATACCAAAATGCTTCCGATGCACCTAACTTATTAGGTGCGACTCTAGTCCGCAGGAAAAGAAGTTCTCGGTCAGCGGTGCAGCGCCATGGCTCCATGAACTATACCGTTGCCGCCTCTGCATGCAAGTCAAATGAGCAATTGCCGGTGCGCGAAGACAGCGCTACTAATCAAGGTGCCGAATTTCATGATGTCATCATGCCTGAAGACCCAAGGAGCTATGTATTCCATTCCAATGAAGATGCTCAATCTCGAGAGGAAGTAAAACGAGTCCATAGGAAAGGAAAGGTTGTAAGATCTAAAAGCACCGTTTATCCCCCCTCGTATTCCTTGAACGACACTCCTGTTTTTGTAACAAGTAACAGCTTTGAAGAGGCTATTAACCCGCTCATTGTAAATGATTCCGTACACGACAATAAAAACTCAATCCGCAGAAGCCTTAACTACGAAGGTCACGTCAGCGCAGCTTTCGATGGTAGCGAAACTGATAACTCTCCTCCTCGTTATACCCACACACCCACTAAGTCTGCGTTCGACCAGAGCCCAGTCCACTCCACTCTTCCAGCTCACCGGCTCCCCGCACATTGGCGCTCATTGGGGTCATTACATATCAACGATAATGACTCGGGCTCTCACCCCAATTTGCTGAAGCCTAACCGACTGCGTAGCCAGTTTTCCTGGCATCCGGAGCGCAATCGCGCTTTCCCTTCCCGACCTCACCGCTCGCAGTCAATGCGATACCCAAGCGATAGCATTGTTCAGTCTGATGACGAGCTTCAATATAGCAACAACCAATTTATTCTTCTATCGCCTCTGGCGTCCTCGGTATCGACCTTTACGCAGGCCAGTGATACTCGTAAACGGGAGCCGCCAGAACTGCCCCCGCGTCCCAAGCATCTCGTGTGTCCTCCTGTCGAAACTTCATGCGACGCCCCCCAGAACTGGAGCGCTTTGTGCCCGAGCTTGTGTCAGTGGGGAGTTGGGAGGCCTTACGTTGGGGCCGAAGACGATCTTGATAACGTGCCTGATATAGACAACAAGAGTGAAGGTCCTACGGGCCTCGGAGGAGCTGTAGCCAGGATCTACAGGGTGGCCATCAAGTCCGCAGTCAACTGTGAGTATCATCAGTAGGTAATCCGCTATTGTCTATTGTATTATATCTGATAATGCAATTTACTAGAAATTTATTACTTTGGAAAAAAATGTCCAGAAGCGTCAATCATTAATGTGTTGCATTGAAAATTAAGCTTTCTAGAAAGAAAATTGTTCTCCGAATATTCGAATTGGATTCTTGTGACACTATAACTATTCCGTTAGGTTGTGTTTCTATGCAAACATTCGAATGTGATCCTTAATGTAACACTATAACTGTAACGTAAGGTTGAGTTTCTATGCTCTATAGTGCATGCTAGTGAGGCACACGCAGCACCTACTTCTGCCGGCAGTTTGTCCGTGTCTCAGCGTCGCGGGATGCGCCTCGCCATGGTCTCGGACGGTTTTTGACATTTTTTGTACCAAATTTCTGCGTCGTGAATTTTCGTTTTGTTTCAGTGTCATTTAGTTGCGTAAATTAACTTAAGTCGGACTTCGTCGTGGTGTACGTTCATTTACTGATTCCTGCTTTCTTCATGTAGTTGTATTTCAAGTTTTCTATGCTCCTTACGTTATTGTTATTAGGAGTTCGTTCGAATGGAATGTATGCACTGCAATACCTCCTTTTTCTATTTTCTTAGATTGTAACACGAGTGAAGATTTATTCAGGTGGGTTTCTAAACAATTTCCGTGATACTATTTCTTTGTTCGAATTTTGTTTCATTTTTGATTCTGTTCATCTTCACCCCATAAATCCCAACTGCAGGAAAATGTGTTCTATTATGCACAAACCTCCGCTCCTCTAAGTCGAGTTTAGCCAGAGATCGTATTCTGACGTTCATAAGTCTTAGCTAGAATCCTTCTGAAATAAATCGTTGTTACGAATTTACCTTTTAAAAGCTAACATAGCTCCATTCTTCTTGCCGACTTTTCCTAACTGCTGAATACATTTCCCCGAAATGAAAAGTTTCTTAGTTACCTGCCTGTCTGATAACCGGTCGCGTCTGAGCTCATAATTACACTGCTTCTAAGCGGTTATTCCTCATATTCACGGGATGTGCGGCGAGCCAAATAGACGATAACGGCCATATAAGGAAGCCTCAAACGGTGCCGAGTGTTCCGGTGAGGATCGCGTGTTTTAATAAAGGCACCGCGCTAGCTTGCGGCGCTATGCTTGCCACTTCACGTCTCCGCTTTTTGTAACCAAGCTCGTCGGAAGCGCTAACGAAGATATTCATTGAGATTATTTGGACACGAACATATCAAGTAGCGGAGCGCGTGATTCTCAAATCTTTATGTTTTAAGCTTAAACTCCTATGTCATGTTTCTCAAGTCATTTACTGTTCTATTTCTCATTGAGCAGTTGTATGTATGAAGAAATTTTTGTCATGTGTTGGAATTATTTGTTTAATCGCATTCGAAATTCTTAACCATTTTGTGTCAAGTATTGCCATAACTTCACAACAGCCTACCCTATGATGTTTTGAGGCGACTGGCAACAGCCTATGATGTTTTCTGGTGACTGGGAACAGCATGTGATGAGACGAGCGGCTGTTAAGTTTAGGCCACAATACAGATGAAGATCTGAGGTGTTCACGAGCTGTTTTGTCTGACGTGCCACCGTTTGTCTGAACTCCCGGCGCTCTTGATTATTAATGCTTGACTGTTATGCGCCGCTGTCATATTGTTCTTCGCTGGCGTGGCCGATCCATTTCATGACTCAGGCATCTGTTTTACAGTCAATACAGATCTTGATCGATCGAAGAGAGCAATGTCCAATTATTCGGCTCTGACTAGCCAGAACTTGCATGAAGACCGATTCTGTGAAAATTGCTGCAGCTGCCCCACCCGTTCACTTTCATCAGTGGTGGCTAGGCCCATGCTAGACGCTTCGTACCAAAATTGCTAATCAGCTCTCGATTTCATTTGACAGTAAATCAACTTAAAAATCTCGGAAGCTCAAATTTTCGGTGACCTGTTTGGACTTGCTGGTAATCGCCTCTTAGTCTTGTTTTGTTCTTTACTCGTTTAACTTCACTTCGAACCTAAGTTTTCTGGTTTGTGTTTTCCTATTGGCATTTATTATTTTCTCTTCCTGCTTGATGGGTTATTTTTTATGTATGGATACTCATACATTTATATAGATCTTAGCAGCCTTCATATTTTTTTGCCGTTTTTTATTGAAAAAAAAAATATATTTCTGTGTCGTTAGAGATAGCGCTAGCATGCCCGATGCTATTCTGTGTGCTGAGTTCATTCTTTAGATTTGCTTGCCGACATGTAAATATTCTTTCCTCGTCATTGTGAAATGTCTCAGTTGAGAGTTATTAATCCCAACGTTCTGTAATACTCAACGCCTTGATGAATCGGTGTCAACGTTACTGTACTAACTCGGTTCAAATTTAAACCATGACATCCATATTTCCAGCAGCTTTCTGCATGTTGTCAACAAGCCTCCTTAACAATATCACTACGCAATTAACTTATAAAACGCGCAGTCTCAGAAGGCAATCGTTTTTCCTGAAGGGCTTCACGCATCATGATAGGAGACGAGCGCAGTTCATTAACAATGCACAATGGGCGGAAGTGAACGTATATTCCATTGAAGCCCTCATTGGATTCGCCTCGAAAACTATTGCAAAGAACATCTCTACGTGATTGAGGCGTGGCAGGTCAAGGCTGTGCTAATATGAGCTTGCCTGCTCAACAATCACAGGGATACACAAGCCGTTTTTTTCTGTAATTAATCAAGTACTGCAAAACACAGCCTATTAAACGCTAAAAAACACAGCGCCTCTAACACTGGGTCTTATGCTGATCCTTTTGTTTCCTCGTCCTGAGGTTGAAAACCGAACGAATTTTAATTTTTTTAGCAATGATCGGATCTGGATATTCTCATTCTCTCATGTATTTGGACCTGGATAGTTTCGAGTTATTAATTTCTTGTGATTATTTATTTCGAATCGCTCTCTAGAGGAATGAACTGTGACTTTACTAGTACGAGAAACGATTATCTCTTGTAGAAAATGCGCTCTCTGTCACTCACTGCAGTGAGTACTGAGTTATATTTTTTTGTATATTAGCACTGTTCGCGTCTGCGTTTCTGTATGTTAGCACAATTCGACTATTGCTATTGGCAATGTCTAGCTCTGCCTCGGGCTAATTAGGATCTACGGGCGCTGTCATACCCGCGGCGCCGTGTACTTGGAAAGAAATAATAGCCGCAGGCTTTGCCTTGCCAGCTGGTCCGCTCGGCTGGGGCGGCCTCGTATGGGAAATGAACGTGTCTAAGTAATGCTTCCCAAACTGTAGGCAATAAATCTGTTGACGTATTTAATACATTCTTCGTGGTGATGGAGTGTTGACAGCAGTTTTACACTTGGATAGGTACGTGTTCATTAATGTTAACATTTGTGACAGGGGCTCGGGTGGCTTATTGCGGCTTCTCAATTCGGGAAGCAGAGTTAACAACTTCTAAACGACGGTGTAGTTTTATCTAGCTATTGCTGACGTGCCTGCATAATGAATAAAATTTCTCGTAAGAAATAATACACCAGTTATTCCTATGAATATTTTTTTCAATCACTGTTGTTTCTACCGCGCTCCCGTTCAGATGACCATGGAAAATATTTAAGTTCCATCCCATCGCGCTGATTGGAGCTTCAGTACAAGCGGGATTAATTTGTTATGGGATAATTTTTTGAGTTTTTCTATGCATCTTATAATATTTGATGAACTCCTTTATTCTCTATAAGATTATATCGGGATTTAGGCATCCAAATTGGTTTAGTGGATCTAATGACATAAGAGAGGTGTTAGAGGAGGTTTGTACATCACTGAGACCAGTTGCAGAGAGTATCCGTGCTATGTGAAAATGTATTTCCAAATGTATTTCAGTAATTTCACATAACACGATAATATCACTGTACCTAACAGTCTAGAATTCTAGATTCTGGTATATGACACAAGAGCTCTATGACTTTCCTAATTGAAAGTGATGGTCACTTGCCTCAACCCGAGTTGAATGCCATCATTTTTCTCCCACGATTTGTATGACAATGATGGGTCCAATGGTGAGGCGCCATTAATAAATGGTAAATAAAAGCATCAAAATGGTGTATAATACGCGTTATTCATTCGCTTCACTACCTTACGACACGTCATATTTTTGGAGATGATGCTTTGCTTCACTATTTTACGACGCATACGGTTAATGATGCTCCGGTGCATTAATTTACAACAAGTGAGATTTACGAACGTCATTAGATATAATTTATTTCATTGGGAATCAAACAAATATTATTAAGAAGCCAGATTGAATTCAAGGGGGGAGGAGATTTTATGTTCGACTAAAAACGAAATCGTCTTGTCATTTCTTGCCGCAGCAATCGTGTTGTTATTATTGGTTGATGCAGCAATCGTGTTGTTATTGTTGGTTGATGCATCAATCGTGTCGTTATTGTCGCTTGATGCAGCAATCTTGTTGTTATTGTTGTTTGATGCAGCAATCTTGTTGATATTGCTGTTTGATGCAGGGATATTGTTATTGTCGGTTGATACCGAAATCTCGTCGTTATTGTTGGTAGACGCCGCAACCTTACCCGCTAATCTCGATATGGTTGCTGATCTGGGGCGCAGGACCTCGGAAGTAACTCTGGCATCAGCCAGTTATCATTCGATTCTAATAATTTACTGCCAGAAAAATCAATTAGCGACCGACGCCGCAGATTTAAGCATACCAGACAAAGCAGCGTCATGTATCTTTACCGTGCAGATGTTGCCGGCTTTTTAGCGCATTTTCTCATTTATGGAAAAAATGTACTATTGTGCTCGCCATGTCCGTCTGTCTGTCTGTCCAGTGTCCGTCTGTCCGCCCGTCCGTCCGTGACCTCAAGTTTTCGTCGACGAGAAAATGCGCTCTCTGTCACTCACTGCAGTGAGTACTGAGTTATATTTTTTAATTGTACTTCTTACACAGCTCTATTCATCTTTTCTCGTTAATTGTTCTTCTTACAGTTACAC